GACGTGCTTGGAAGCCAGTTTCCCATTGCTTCCTGCGTTCGGCATGCTGGGAAATCTAGCATGTCGCTCCCTTCCTCCCATTCACATTCTCTAAGCATCCACCCACAGGTGCCTACACATTTCAGGGTCTGACTTCTCTTCTACCTACCAAAATCCTAATTCAGGTTTATGCACTCCTAATTTGAACTCCTCTCAGATGTCAAAAGTAGGTTCAAAATTAAAAATTGTGGCAAGTGTATGTAGTAAAATCATCTATGCCCACAAAACTTCACTTTAGCCCTAAGCTTTGCCCTAAGCAGCTTCCCAACTACCTAAAACCTGTCCTTTCCAAGTGGACTCTGGCTCCTCCCTTCTTCACTGTTGTGGTCACTCCAAGGAGAGAGAGTTTTTTATGTAGCATTTTCAGTTTTCTTAATTGTCCAAAAAAGGACCCTGAATGAATGGCTGTAAGCAGTATTTAAATAGTTCCATTGAATTAATCAGAGGAAGGTTGATAACAAGTGTTGAAGAATGAGACGAAGGGAAGAATATAAAATAGTAACTGATGATCAGAAGGGATCTGAAAAAGAAAGAAAAATCTTGAAAAGCAAACACAAGCAAACCATTAAATGTATGAAATAGAAACAAGACAAATGATGTTAATGGGTAAAGAATGGATTAAATCAAAGCAATTTTTCTGTGTGGAAATGTGTATTGCAGAAATAAATTCCTTGAGTGTATATTTTTGTTATCAAGAATACTCACTTTACACACACACACACACACACACACACACACACACACACACTCCCAGTCAGAGATGGTCTTCCCTTCCTTGGATCAGAGGAAGGCATCAGCGAAAATAATAGCTCTGTCACTGGAGCTCTTTGATAAATGTCTGTGTTGGATTCAAGAAAATAAAGAAGGAAGTGATTCTCATATTTGATCCAATGCACCAAATAATACACATGGCCTCTTTTACGAAGAGCTCTGAAATAATCATGTTAATAAATACTAAGCATTCAACAAATAAAATGTGTTCCTATTACATTTTAGCCAGCCAACAAGGAACTTAATTCGATTCCTAGGTTGACTTCATGTAAGCTAACCTTGCCATGTTTCAAATCATTTCACATCTCCTTGTTTGAATGAACAATTAAATTATTCACCAGTATTTTTATTAAGACATGGCAATGTCATCAACTGATTCAAGTTTTAAGATTACATATTATAAAGTACACTGGAAACAAACTTTTTATACTATAGCTAATAAGTTGCAAAGCTTTAACACATTCCAACATCAATAAAGTATAACAAAATACCAAGTAAGTGGAAAACTAGTGAATTATTGTAAACCTTTACATTAGGACTTCAAAGTATGTAGCATCTTATTGTCCTATGGTCATTGATTAATTGTATTTTTCTCTTTTGACTCTTTTCTTCCATGACTTACTAATGTCACAAGCAAATTGATAACAAATAACTCCAAAAAGGAATTGGTTGTGATTTAGTCTAAAATCATTTGTCACTCAGTTACTTTAAATGTGAAATTTCTGCATAAGTAGTACAGGATAGGTGGTTTCCTAATGTAATTACATTGTTGGATGCCTGTGATGGGGATTCTATCCATTTATCAGACATGCAACACAGTAAGCTTTTCTCTCCGTGTAAAATAATATAATTGTCACTTGAAAAAAGTTACCAGCTGCTACCACTGCTAACACCCAAACTTGGTCACAAACATCACCAGGGAGTGGTCCCTGCGAGGTGAAGAAGGCAAGTCATCAGGCAGGAACTGCAGTAATCTCACACGCACTGTCCAAGTCCTCAGGCACCCGGTCTTCGATTTATATAAGGTGTAAAATGCCTGTGCCTTGGTTGCTTCCGCTATCCCACCCAGGAGGTGCTTCTGATGGAGACCTTACGGTGCCCTCACTCTGCTCCTTGGAAGATCATATCTTCAGTGGGAGAGGGAGACGTTCCCTTTGCATCCCACCAATGCTCACTGGACTCCAGTCCCTGGTTCAGGGTTTGTCACTGCCCATAATTCTTATGATCTTTTAGCAGAGGACCATATTTTACACATTTGATCTGTTTCTAATATGCACCTCTTACTTTTATACTTTATTCTTTGTCATTTTTTATTAGAATAAAGATAAAGATAGTCCTAAGATTATGAAGGTGAAATAGACACCCAAAATTTTATCATCTCTTGGTGGTAGACCTGTGGCATGCAAATTATTTGCTTTTCCTTTAAGACAAAAGCTGTTATGTATGAGTTACAGTTTTCTAAACTAAAACCTCAGCATTCAAGTTTAATTGCGGCATTGACACTGTGGCAAATATGTAGGCACTGGGTTGCAATGTGGGTGCTCATTTCTGCAATGTTCACCATCACTTGAAGTGCTTGAACTCAATATAAACACTGTATGTATACGGGATATCTTGAAAGCCAAGGAAAATGCACACTATTTTTTCTCATTTTTACAACAAGTCAATCCAAATGAGTTGTCAAGGAGCACAAAGCTTGTGTTCTTCTTTGAAGCATTGGCGATCCCTATAATTTTGCTGCACTTTACAAATGCAAAGACCTCCAAGAAAACTTGAGAATTCACAGTTTACACTGTTAATTTTAGACAAAGAGAAATCCCGAGGTGATTTGGAACCGAAAAAAATCAATAAGCAATGTCCAATATGATCTACTAAGCTTTAGCATGCTTTTGAAAGATTAGAAATTCTGTATGGCACCTTAGTCAGGAAATCCTGGTCCCTGTCCATCTGATATGAAAGAAAAAGAACTACAGAAAGTATTTATAAATAGCAAAGATGAAACTACAAATAGAGCAGCCGAGCTCAACATTGCTCCAGCAAGTGGGTTGGAAAGTAGGAGGAAACAATCTATATAATATGAGAAAAGTAAGGGGAGCTGCAGCAAAAAAGGAAAAATGATTAAAATTGTAGAAGAAATAACACAGACCTCTCATTAGGCTCAAGAATGGCATGAACTGTGCCATGGGAAAAACGCACATGTTTATAACATTCTGCAAACCATGTAAAGAAGTTCTACAATCCCCTCAGAATCTCCTAGGGAGTCCTATGGCATATAATAACATCAATATCTTTGAAGTATACTGTAGTGCTTAACTGAGACGTTTGGGGGAAAGATCAGAGGAAAAAAATACCATTGTGTCATTCAGAACAAAATTACTGCCACCAATTATTTGGCTTCAATTGAAGATACTGAGTCTGCTATTAAATCAACACTTGAGTGCTAAACTCAGGTGTGGAGAGTCCCATGTTGCAATGATATTCTGTTGGAGATAAAGCTATTCGTCAAAATTATTTACATGTGAACATCAGTTTAATGTTTTGATGCCTCTAACTTGGCCATTTCGTGTGGTCATAAAAATAATTTGTGTGTAAGTGCTCTCCAAGGACTCTGCTCCAAGGGCTGTAATGCCTTTCATTTTGGCCCACAGCCTCTGGGACATTTCTCTGCTAAGGGCCTCCCCTGGGTTTCAACTGGATCATTTGTATCTCTGGATCATTTGGGTTTCCTTTATGTCGAGGCTGCTCCAGTTCCAACATTGCTGTGTCAGAGATGGAGCTCATGCCAAGGTTACTCAGAGGATTGAGACTTCAACATTTCCAACTGTCGTGCCAAAGAGGGCTACCTTCTGAGGGAACACATTTAAATAAGACTAAACAAACTCTGGAAAAATGTTCAGTCTCATGCATAATTAAAGCATTGTGAGTCAAACCAATAAGAAGATATTACTCTAGAACATTTTTCAAACATAGCATCCATAAGGGCTGGTGAGACTGTCGAGGAGTACAGTTCCTGTTGCATTGAAGATGATTTCGGTAATACACAGAGAGGAGAAAATCCTTTATTCATTTTGGCCAGAAGTTGTATCTTCAGGGAGGGAGAAAGTGTGCATACCAAGTTCTTTCCAGCAGTGTCATTTAGGTGAGTGAAAACAAAAATTTAAATATTCAATGGTAGAAGGTGGTTATAAAGTAGTGCTTAGCCCACATGGACATCATGGTGTACGGTGACTGTGACAGTGCTACCCAACTGGCCCTCCAAGCTAGCTGTTGGATGGTGCAAACATGCAACTCAGTTCTGGCCATTAAGATGAGAGGAAATGTTTTGTTGAGGCATTTTGGAAAAAGAAATCTCTTTTCTAAGAAAGAGAAACTGAAGGGAACCATTCATCTTTTGTGGCCCAGACACCACTGCAGCCATCACAAGATGTACCTGAGGAAAAAATTAGCACAAAGGATCAAAAGTTAGAGATTTGGGAAAACCTGGGCCTTCAGTTACAACACTGTGCTACTAAATCAATTTACAGACCAAACTTCCATACATATGAAATATTAAAGGAACTTATACTTTGTCACTTTGAGTTCATATTTCCTGTACCTGCTTGCAAAAATAAGCCAACAGAGTCAAAATTAATTTGACTTTGCACATGCATTACAGTAGTAAAGACTGATGTAAAACTATAGCAAATATTTGTCAACAACCTTAAATAAAAACCTAACAAAAACCCAAATTATACATAATTTCACTAACCAAAATAATATGAATTTCACAGTATTTGTTATATTGCATAGTATTATCTTCAAAATAGTTGTTCATATTACCAGATATATGTATTCAAAATTGGAAGAAGAAATAAATTATTAAAAATTGAGAAGAGAGAAAAGGGAAAAGAACTGAAAAAAGAAGACAAAACAAATTACTGATTAACTGCCCCTTTCCATAGACCAGCAGAAAACCATAATACAGTTGTCCAAACCAATCTGCTTATGTACATAGATACACCTTTTCCCCCAAGCCTCTCCTTTCCTTTTCCTCAGTAATTCCTTCCTTTTGAACAGATTCATTCCCTTCTCCCAATATCTACTGTACCCTTCATATTTTTTCTTTCAGGTTCTCCCACAAATGAGACAATATGATGTTCACACATGTTAGTTTGATTTAGTTCACTTAAGAGTATAGCTAGGTGGCAAAGGCGGCTACGGCGCAGTCGGCCTGGCCGAGGTCCTCACGGGCCCGGGGCGGGGCTGTGGGCTCTGGATGGCGGTGCCACGGCTGCTGCTGCTAGGAGGAGAGCACCGACTTGGCCCGGCGGAGGCTGCAAGCTGCACGGGTCTCGCAGGAGGGCCACTGAAGTAAGAATCAAGCTCTACAATGACAACTTATTTGGAATTCATCCAACAAAATGAAGAGTGAGATGGAGTCCGGTTCAGTTGGAATGTTTGGCCATCAAGTCGGCTGGAGGCCACCAGAATGGTTGTCCCAGTGGCAGCCCTATTTACACCACTGAAAGAGAGGCCTGATTTACCTCCTATTCAGTACAAACCTGTTCTGTGCTGTAGGACGACCTGCCGTGCAGTTTTGAATCCTTTATGTCAAGTGGATTATCGAGCAAAACTATGGGCTTGCAACTTTTGTTATCAAAGGAATCAGTTTCCACCTACTTATGCTGGGATATCTGAACTGAATCAGCCTGCTGAACTTTTACCTCAGTTTTCTAGCATTGAATATGTAGTTCTGCGTGGCCCTCAGATGTCTTTGATATTCCTCTATGTGGTTGATACTTGCATGGAAGATGAAGATTTACAAGCCCTGAAAGAATCCATGCAGATGTCATTAAGTCTCTTACCACCTACAGCTTTGGTTGGACTGATTACTTTTGGGAGAATGGTGCAGAGGCATTTCCAAAAGTTACGTCTTCAGGGGAACAAAAGACCTGTCTACCAAGCAACTGCAGGAAATGCTGGGGCTTTCTAAAGTGCCAGTTACTCAAGTAATGCGCGGTCCTCAGGTACAGCAGCCACCCCCTTCTAACAGATTCCTGCAGGGAAAGAGACCTTTGCCTTCCTCAGGGGTGGCCCTTTCCATAGCTGTAGGACTACTGGAGTATACTTTTCCCAACACTGGGGCTCGTATCATGATGTTCATTGGTGGTCCTGCTACCCAGGGGCCTGGAATGGTGGTTGGAGATGAACTGAAGACACCTATAAGATCATGGCATGACATTGATAAAGACAATGCTAAATTTGTAAAAAAGGGGAATGAAGCATTTTGAAGCATTGGCTTACCAAGCTGCTACAACTGACCATGTTATTGACATCTATGCCTGTGCGCTAGATCAGACAGGTCTCATGGAAATAAAATGCTGTCCCAACCTTACTGGTGGATACATGGTGATGGGTGATTCTTTCAGTACTTCCTTATTCAAACAAACTTTTCAAAGAGTCTTTACCAAAGATATGCATGGACAATTTAAAATGGGCTTTGGGGGGACATTAGAAATAAAGACCTCAAGGGAGATAAAGATTTCTGGAGTTATTGGACCTTGTGTGTCTCTCAATTCTAAAGGACCCTGCGTGTCTGAAAATGAGATAGGAATAGGTGGCACTTGTCAGTGGAAGATATGTGGACTGAGTCCCACCACAACCCTAGCCATATATTTTGAGGTTGTTAACCAGCATAATGCTCCGATTCCTCAAGGAGGACATGGTACAATCCAATTTGTGACCCAGTACCAGCATTCCAGTGGGCAGAGACGTATCCGAGTGACCACCATTGCTAGGAATTGGGCAGATGCTCAGACTCAAATCCAAAACATCACTGCGTCCTTTGACCAGGAGGCAGCTGCCATTCTTATGACCAGGCTGGCAATATATAGAGCAGAAACAGAGGAAGGGCCAGATGTGCTCAGGTGGCTGGACAGACAGCTCATTCGGCTGTGCCAGAAATTTGGAGAGTATCACAAAGATGATCCAAGCTCCTTCAGATTTTCAGAAACTTTCTCCCTTTATCCACAGTTTATGTTTCATTTAAGATCTCCTTTTTTGCAAGTTTTTAACAACAGTCCTGATGAGAGTTCGTACTACCGGTACCATTTTATGCATCAAGATCTGACCCAGTCTCTAATCATGATTCAGCCTATTCTATATGCGTATTCTTTTAGTGGACCACCAGAGCCGGTTCTCCTCGACAGCAGCAGCATTCTTGCAGATCATATTCTTCTCATGGACACATTCTTCCAGATTCTGATGTATCATGGTGAGACCCCTGCACAGTGGAGGAAGTCGGTGTACCAGGACATGCCAGAGTACGAGAATTTCCGCCACCTCCTTCAGGCCCCGGTGGACGATGCGCAGGAGATCCTGCATTCCAGGTTCCCGATGCCGCGCTACATTGACACGGAGCACGGTGGCAGCCAGGCCCATTTTCTGCTTTCCAAAGTGAACCCTTCTCAGACTCATAATAATATGTATGCCTGGGGACAGGAGTGTGGAGCACCTATTCTCACAGATGATGCTAGTTTGCAAGTATTTATGGATCACCTGAAGAAACTTGCTGTGCCAAGTGCTGCTTGACATGCTCAGCGTGTTTGGACACCTCAGGAGATGAAATAACATCGCAGTTACATTTGTTCTTTTTTCACATTTTTCTTTTCTTTCTTTTTTTCTTTTCTTTTCTGAGACAGGGTTTCATTATGTAGCTCAGGCTGGCCTTAAACTTGCTGGGTAGTCCATGCTGGTCTCAAACTCATGGTCTTCCTGCCTCAGCCTCCTAAGTGCTGGGATTACAGGTGTGCACCATTGTACCCAGTTCCCTTTTCCATGTTTCTATGGAAACCAGTAGATATCGCTCTAGACTTTTCTTGGTATCGGTATGGTTTGAGATGACATTTGCAAAAAAATGTTCACGTTTGTAGATTGAGTTGAAATATAATGAGAGCATTGAGAACAAACCTGTTTTACTTGCCACAGTATTAAAACTGGTTTTAGAAATTTGGAGTCTATATAAGTTATGTTTAAGAATAAAAACTGTCTGCCTTGTACTGCAGATATAACTTATTTGTATATTGCAGACAAATCAAAAGTGGCACTGAATATCTCCTGACCTTTTAAAAACCTATTTAATTTTAGCCAGAAAGGGACAAATCAATAGTAATGATAAATGTGAACATTTTTGCTTATATGTTCAATATTTTTCTACGATTTTTCAACACTTACGTATACCCTTTTCCTGTACTTACTCTGTTAAGATGAATTTTTGTGATTTGCTTAGGGATTATCTGACTTTATAATGGTAATTTTCAAGAAGATAATATCATGTTTTTTGGTTGTTTGGAAAAATTGTTTGAAGATGAAAAAAATATTAGGTGGGTCAGAGCTAATAATCTTACAACTGACAGTAAATGTGAAATTCTACCAAGTCCGCAATGTGTGTAACTAACACAACACTTCAAAAAAGTGATAGACAATATTTGGTAGACAATAAAGTGTTTTGTCAGAGTACAGAAAGAAGGCCTTTCTAGTAAAATGAATACTGTAACTGCTAAACCAAAATTGGTTTTCATTACAAGGTTTTGATGTCTCCCCTTTTTCTGAGCTAAATTTTATGTTATATCCTTCAGTATTTTAACACTACACTGGGAGCTTACACAATTACTTTTATTCCCCCTGCTTCCTTTTTATGAAATTTATTAAGTTGTGGTTCTTACTGAAACAGTATTATGTAGTGTTTGTTTAATTGTGTCATGTGGTGATACTATTTTATTTTGATTTATTCATTGGTGTCATTCATTTTTACATTTAAGGTTTACTTATAGCAAATATGTTTACATTGCTAAAGCCAGATATGATTTGACTATGAAATTTGCATATCAAGTGCTGAACTAAGAGGTGGTGCTCTGGTACATGCTTAGAGAGACAGTTTTGACAATTGTATTCCAATGAACACAATCACAGGATGCTGAAACAAACTTGTAATTGTTTATATTATATTCAGTTAGCTTAACTTTGTTCCATTTATTTGAATTGAATTGTGCTAGGCCAAAATATCAATAAAATGTGCTTTTCTCTGAATAAAAAGAGTATAGCTAGTTGTAACTATTTACAAATGAAAACTTCAAATGTATCCCTTTTATAGCTGAATAATACTCCATTGTGTAAAAAATAACACATATTGCTTATCCATTCCTCAATTGATGGGCATATGAGTTGCTTCCCAGACCTAGCTATGACTAATTGTGCTTCTGTAAACATGGGTGCACATATATCATTGTGATATGGTGTTTTCAGTTCTTCTGGAAAAATATTCAGGAGAGGAATGGTGGGCTTGAATGGGACCACCAATCCTAGCTTTTTGAGGAATCTCCACACTGATTTCCATAGTGCTTGTACCAGTCTGCACTCTCACCAATAGTGGGAAAGTTTCCTTTTTCCCCATTGCCCCTCCAGTGTTTGTCACTGGTTGCCTTATTGATCATAGCCCTTTTTTCTGGGGTGAGATGGACATTCAGTGTTGTTTTAATTTGCATTTCTCTAATGACCAATAATGTTGAACATGTTTTCATATATCTATTTGCTCTTTGTATGTCTTCCTCTGAGAAGTGTATGTTCATCTCAGATGCCCATTTTTGGATTAGGTCTTTAAATTTTGGGATTCTAGGGGTTTTTAAAAATTCTTTATATGTTCTATATAGAAGGCCTTTGTCAAAGAGAAAGTTGGCTGTAATTTTTCCCAGTTTGTGGACTTTTTTATTCTATTGATAATTTCTTTTGATGTGCAGAAACTTTTCAAAAAGATGAAATCCCAGGTTTTTGTTCTTTGAAGTATTTCCTATGCAATATGATTTTTGATCATGAACTCTCTGTGTACCTCTATGCCTATAAAATTTGCCCCTACATTTTTCTACAGGGGATTTAGTGTTTCTGTTTTAATGTTTAAACCTTTGATACATTTTGACTGTCATTTAGGGCATGGAATCACCATGGATCTAATTTTAGCCTTTGGCATGTGGAAATTCAGTTTTTCCAGAACCATTTATTAAAGAGGCTCTCTTTCTTCCTGGGAACATGTTTGGCCCCTTTATCAAAGTTAGGGCAGCTGCATTTGTTTGTAGTTGTGTCTGCATCTTCTAATCTGTTCTACTGATTCTCAAGTCTGCCATTAGGCTAGCACAATGCTGATTTTCTCAAAGTAGTTTTTTTTTTTTAATTTTATTTATTTGTGTGTGTGTGTGTGTGTGTGTGTGTGTGTGTCCAGCTCAGCCCACCAGGGGGCGGGGCTGGCTGGCATGTGGTGCTGGGGATTGAACCTTGGTCCCTTGTGCTTTGTTAAGCTTGTTCTAAGTAGGTACTTTAGACCACTGAACCGTCTCACCAGCCCTCTCAAAGTAGTTTTATAGTATAATTTCAGGTCATGGATTGTGATGCCTCCTACCTCTGCTCTTTTTCCCAGGATTGTTTTTGATATGCTGGGTCTCTTCCAATCATAAATGAATTTGAGGAATATTTTCTCTAGCTCTGTGAGGTATACTAATGGTATTTTAATCAGGATTACATTGAATCTGTATAGCAATTTTGGAGTATGGCCATTGTCACAGTGCTGGTTCTTCCTATCCAGGGATAAGGAATATCTTTCCATTTTCTGAAATCCTCTTTAATCTCTTTTTTCAGTGTATGTCTCAGTTACTCTTCTCTAGTTGCTGGGACAAATACCTGACACTTAAAATAAAGGAAGGAAAGGTATATTTAACTTATAGTTACTGGAGGTTTCAGTACCTACTCAGATACTCATATGGCTCCAAGCACAAAGCGGCATATGGCAGAAAGCAATCTTTCATGATGGTGGCAAAGAGCAGAGGGCAAAGGGGAGTGGCAGCAGCTCAGGCAGCTCAGCCTCTCTTCCCTCCTTACATTGTAATGCAAACTACCTGCCATAGGGCAGGTGCAACATCCCCACCCACAATAATAAATCACAAACTCCATAATCCACCCCATGACTACCATAACAGCATACTCTAATTTTCACTGTATAAATGTTTACTTCCTTTGTGAGATTGATACCTAAGTATTTCAATTATTAGGATGTTATTGTAAAAGGCATGGCTTCCCTAATTTCTCCCGCAGTGCATTCATTGTTTGTGCACAAAAATGCTAATGATTTTTGAGTGCTGACTTTGTATCCTGCTACACTACTGAATTTGGTTATTAAAATTCCAAGTCACTTGGTTGAGTTTTTGGGGGTTTGTATGTATGGTATCATATCATTTGCAAATAATGATCATTTCACTTCTTCTTTTCCAATCATTATTCATATTATTTCTCTCTCTTGTCTAATTGTTCTGGCTGATGTTTCCAGAATAGGAGTGGAGACAGTGGACATCTTTGTGTTCCTCCTGATTTTAAAGTGAAGGCTTTCAGTTTTTTGCCCATTGAATATGATGTTGGCTGTTAGTTTCTCATGAATGACTTTTATCAGTTTGAGATATAGGCCATCTGTTCCAATTTTCTGGGGATTTTATCATGAGTGATTATTGGACTTTGTCAAAAGCCTTTTCTGTATCCATTGAGATGATTATGCTGTTTTTGTCTTTGCCTCTGTTGATGTGGTATATTACATTTATTGATTTGCATATGTTGAACCATCCCTGCATTCTTGGGATAATTCTACTTGATTGTGACATTCAATCTTATTAGTGATTTGCTGCATTCTGTTTGTTAGTATTTTGTTAGGATTTTTGAACCTATGTTTATTAAGGAGATTTGCCTGTAGTTCTTTTTTGGTTGGATCCTTCTCTGGATTTGATATCAGAATAACTTTTGCCTACAGGAATGAGTTTGGGAGAATTTCTTCCCTTTCAATTTCATTGAAAAGTAAGGGAAAGGCTAGCTTTAAATTTCTAAATTTCTTGTCAAAATGAGCTATAAATCCATTGGGACCTAGACTTTTATTTGTTGGTAGTTTTTTTAAAATTACATTTCAAATTTTGTTTCCTGTTATTACATTATTCAGAGTTTGTATATCTTCTTGACTCAGCTTTGGCATTTCATACATATTTAGGAAGCTGTCCCTATCCTCTATATTTTCTGTCCTATGAGAATAAAGATCTTGGATGTATTGATGATCTTCTGAATTTCTATAGAGTCTGTAGTTTCCATGCCCTTTTCATTCCTTATTTCATGAATTTGGGTTTTTCTTTCTTTTTTAAATATGTTGGCTAGAAGTTTATCAGTTTTAATTATCCCTTCAAAGAATCAACACTTTGATTCATTGATTCTTTGTCTTTTTCATCTCCATTGTATCAATTTCTTCTCTAACATTTACAATTTCCTCTCTTCTTCGGGCTTTGGGCTTGACTTGCTCTTTTTTTCTATGAGTTATAAATGCAGCAAAATATCATTTATTTGGGCTTAATGTATTTTTCTATTGTGTGAATTTACTGCTCTACATTTCCTTCTTAAGACAGCTTTCATTGTATCCCACAGGTTCCAGTAAATTGTATTTGCATTTTTTTCCAATTTAAATGCTGTTTAATTTCTTTTTGAATTTCATCTGTCACCCACTGTTTGTTTGTTATTTAATTTCCATGTGTTTATGGAGTATTTATTGTATCTTATGTCAATAATTTCCAGTTTCATTGCACTATGATCAGATAGTATACATGGGATAATTTCAATTCCTTTGCATTTACTTAAGCATGTTCTGT